CGAGCCGCAAAAACAACGTATTTGCGCGAAGTTCGTGTGCACGTTGCGCGGTTTTTGATTGGCGAGCGGGAATGAAAACGAACCACCCCATAGCATCCCCGCGAAGCGCACGGCGAAACATGCTGTGAGAGTTGGAGTGGGGGAACCAGTGGCGAGTCATGATATCGATATTTCCCCATTAGAATGTATGAAAAAGAATCGATTATTACGAACACCCTGTTTATCGATCTTTTCCGTAGGTTTAAATGGCAGATCAATCGATATATCGCAAAGCACGCCGCGTCACTGGAGGGAACCTTAAGAAGAGAGGAGGAAATGTACCCTCGCTTTGATGCAGCTTCGACTGGAGTTATTTAGTGAATCCTCGGTCAGGTTGGGTTTATCTATTCAAGGGCTGCATGAATAAATAGCAGCGGCGTGGCGTGCTTTGCGATGTATCGATAGATCTGCCGTTTGAACAAACGGCAAAGGATCGATGAACAAGGTGTTCGGAGACGATCTCTCACAGGCCTGCACCTCACTTGGACTGTAGCAACCGTTTGCACTCCTTCAATTTAGAGGGTAGGCAATTTCGCGACCCTCGTGCTCGATAAGTTATCTCCTCGACTGTTATCAGGATGACGCGACGCTCAGCTTTAAATTTTGAAAAAAATTGAAAAATCAAAAGGAACGTCAGCCATTCTGGCATGAGCCTTGAGACCCATAGAAATACATGCATGACAGGGCTCAAAACACATTAGATATAGTTTCTTTTGATTTACATGCGCCTATTTTTAGGCGGTTCATGTAAATCTACTTTCGATATCCATATTTAAAAATCAATGACGCATTCAAGTATTTCCTTTCTTTTATTTAATCCGATAATTCGAAGATGATCAACCTTTTCATGGAAACTGGCGTGATGATATCGATTGTGCCCGATCAGTGAGTTTTATATTGCGCACCAAGGCAAGTAATTTCAAACATAACATAACAACAGTGAAAGTCTCATACATTTAAAAATATTGCTGCTGGTTCAAGAAGATATAAGGTAAAAAATGTAATTGCCTTTATGGTTCCTTTTACAATGACTTATGTATTTTCAATTTCACAAGTATTCATAGGATTTCCAGTCAGTTTACTGGGAAAACGAGTTCCACCACGTAAGTAATAAATAAGGAAAACACTTTTTAAAGGACTGTAAGACATATAATTGAAGATCTTGGAGAATCGAAACGCCAATCTCTGAAATGCGTACTGAACCAACCGTATTTTCTGATTTTGACCGAATAATTTCAAAATTTTGCCGAGAACTTCGTTTTTGAAAATCAAGACCTCCCTTCTCCCTCTCCGGGGGGGGGGGGGGGGGGGGGGGGTGCCGAGGAGGCTTTGGGATGCTGCAATTCGGATTCGTCGATATTAATTTCCATTTTGTTCTCCGGTCACAAACTTGGTTCGACTTATCATAGGTGGGTTCAGCAAAGTGGCAACATTGTCCTTTATCCAAATAAACCTACGGAAATGTATCGATTCTTGGAGGGGCCAGGTGCTCAGAAAAGAATCGATTATTTAGCATAGCTTTAAATGAAGGAAATCCGTGGTTGCCAAATTGCTGGATCCGCCTCTGCTTAAAATAACTGAGAAAAAAGCCGTATGCGAGTAACTTCGGATAATCCTGAATATACTTCAATATTCCTGCTTCTGCTGGACAATCTCCCCGGGTCTTTTCGACTTGTCTTTAAAAATGAAAGCCCCAGAATATTTGATAAAATTCTGGAAAAGTCTCTATTGAACTGCTCGCAATATTCTTTAAGAGAAGTTATGCAGAACCCACTACCCCACGAATTTAATTTCTAATTTGTTAAAATTAACTAATTTGTAAGTCTTCGTTGCATTTAGTTGTATATTATTGTTAATGTATTACATAAATTATTGTATGACCTGCATTAAGTCTGAACTGAGGCTAATCAGTTGAAATAAAGTGAATTTTAATTTGAATTTGAGATTATTTTGCCGCAAAAGTTTTAATCCACACCTGCATCCGCATCCCCAGGTGGAATATTTCAACAGAAAAATCGGGATTTTTTGAAATTAAGATGCAATTTTTTTACGATTTCCGGCGATAAAGTCGCGAGGATCATCAACATCTGAGCGAGTATCCTCAACCTTGTCGCAATTTTATCTTTTTAAAATTTCAGTCAATAAAATCGAAATTTTACCTCAATTTATTTCGAATTTTTGTTCGATAATATTGCAATAAATCGTTGTCGATAAACTTGCAATTTTACAGTAAATTTATGCGATGAAATTGCAATTTATCGCAATATTAATCCAATTGTATATATTTTGAGGTTTATTGACATAAATCGGCTTAAAAAAAATCGGGGTGCATTCTCCGTTCAAATCGCAACTTATCGCGATCACTGCTACTTGGGTCGTACTCTCTACTATCTTTAAAGTGATTTTCAATCAATGACACTTTGTAACTATTGAGTGGTGAGCCCTGCACATATTTTTCTGAGAGGGAGCTCTTGAAATCCGATCTATATTTATATTCGTTGAATTTCAAGAGTGGGTGAGTATTCATAGAATTTGGAGAGTGGATGAGCCCTGTTCCGAAAGAGTCGGATAATCAACTTCATGGGATGCAATGTATTCGAGAGAAGTCTTACACAACATAGTCACACGCATGGCTAGGTCCAGAAAATTGTGACGCATTTCACGTAGCTTCTCTTCCTGCAGAATGCATGACGCATGGTTTTGCTGTATGTAACGAGTATACTTAATCTTGTCCAATAATGGCCTGCGTCTAATACATAGAAAGCAAGTGATAGGTGGCAATGGCGCTGGTTAAACAGCGGAAAAGAGGGTCGATGTTTTGAAGATTGATAGTATTAAAAATAGGGGCGTAGCTAGGAAATTTCTCTGGGGGGGGCATGGGACCACCTCTCGTGGTGAAGAGAGCGGGGGGTGAGGAATGTAGGATCCCGTTTTTCTGGGGGGGGGGGGCACAAGATTTCTGGGAGGGACCAGCCCCCCACCAAGACCCCCCTAGCTACGCCCATGAATTTAAAACAGGTGTAAAATTTATCAGTATAACTTTTGGGAATTAATTCTTGCAAGAGATCACAATGATTTGCTACTACAAAAAATAAAATTAAATACGGAAGAAATAATTTTATAATTCTGACGAACTCGAAGGGAAGTGTAAACCTGCCTTGAAATTTACAAAACACTCAATTTATTTTCCTTTGAATTTTGTAATTTTTGTGGTGGCAAATCTTCGTAATCCCTTGGAAAGACCTATTTCCAAAGTTTAACTGCTGAATTATTTGACTAAAAGTTTCCAAGAATTAGGATATCATCCTTCAACTTCTCTTAATCACACCCTGGTAAAAATTGGCAGTAGAATCTGTGTTCCAAAATATCATAGACCTACGGCCGGCTGTAAGATTTCCAATAGCTTCTATAGCCGGCTACACAATCTCTAATAGCCTTTTATAGCCGATGGCGATGAAGCAACTCACAGCTAGGCGATGAAGTGTATGCTAAACGTCGCTAATTACGGATGCTAGGACTTAGTGAGTTTTTGGAACTCTGCTTTCTTTTTGGGCCGTAGTATCTTGATTTGTTTTGCGAGGAAAGCAGAAAGCTCCGTACTTTTGATGGATGCCTGCCATTCATAATATATTAGAGATTAGAGCGCCTTCAGTTTCGTATGATACTGTGCAATACCTCTGGTGTGAAATAGTTGCTTCAAGCGCCGTGGTACGCTGCGGTGCGGCAGGCGGGCAGCGGCAGCCAGCTGGAAACGCGCGTTGGCGCCTACAAACCTAACAGGGATACTTCACGCGTTGCGCAATGCGTGAAGTATCCCTGTTAGGTTTGTAGGCACTAGTTCGTCGCCGCTCCGCTATGTGTTAGGCTCTAATATTTAATCTGGCGGAGTCAGCGTTATTCAACTCATGATTTTGAAATGTTTGCACATCCTGTATGGATTATTCTCGTTTTAATTGATGAAAAAAAATATGTATCAAAGGAAAATATAACGTGTGTTTTGTAAATATTAAGGTGGTTCCGTATCAAACTTAATGATTTCCAAAGCATACGAATTTCTACACAATTTCTTATAGCCTTTTATAATCGATGACGAAAAAGCAACAGCCAGGCGATAAAGTGTACAGCCCGGCGATAGGAACTATAGCCCTTCTGCAGAATTTTTTATCGCTTCGTATAGCCCGGCCGTATGATTTTCTCCGCAGTCTACAGCCAGCTATATGATTTTCTGTAGCCTTCTTTGGCCGGCTTTAAGAATTCCTGTGGTATTTTGAAACGCAGCTCTTATCGCCAATTTTTACCAGGGCAATATAAACCAAATAAGGTCGCTTAAGGAATGGTTGGAGGAGATCTCTACGTGATAGGACATCATAAACAGGGCAATTTTAGCAGTCCAATTCAGCAGAATAACTTTAGGAATGGGTGCGTGAAAAGATTCTCTATCATTTGTAACTTGGAATAAGTACAAAATACGAAAGAAAAAGTATTGTGAGTTTTGTAAATTTTAAGGTAGGTTCTCAAAGGCCTAGGCTGTAAAGTCAGTCAAAATCAAGGACTTTTTAGTTCTGTATTTTGTACTTCTCGCAGTGGCAAATGATTGTAATCCCGTTCAAGGACTCTTTTTCAGGTCATACTGGTGAATTTCACTCGCGGTTTGCAAAACTTGCCCTTTTTATGATGCTATGTTTAGGATCCTTGAACCTCTTTTAATCACTTTGTAAACCATTTTGAGCCTCCTAAAAACCACACTCTGTGTTGCCAGTTTGTGCAAATCACCATCGTTTCAAGTACTGGCTCACGTTTCTTGAATACTTCAAGAAGCACTTTCTTACTCAGAATTGTGAATGTAGTAAGATTTGTAAAATTATTCTAGTATCTATGAGGATTAAGTCGTGTTTGAATCACTGTTCCTATCCTCGGAAACATGTCGATATGCAGTCTCAAGTGGGTGAAATTGCTCATGATTATTTGGAACACATCACTTCACTGGAGCTACATAAAACCGTGAGAAAAGTGCATTTGAATCATCTGCAGAAACCATACGAAGCGTGCGGGTGTTATATTTATATTCTGGAGCGGTTTTGAAAAAATAAGTTTCATTTTTCAAGTAAGGTAAGTTAACATTTTTATTTAAGCAAGAATTCTTAATTTTTCTCGCATATGTGATCGGCCCTATGGACCTCACGCACCACAATATTGTTACCATCCCATCACCGATTACATACTGGTCAATTAAGAAAAAAAACAACTTTTTTACGTTTGCCTACAAACTATTGATGTAGGGTAGATTTTTAGCGCTGAGTCCGGAAATGACCTCCGTTTTGCTGGATTAGGTCGATTCTCCCTGGAAAATCTGAATTTTCCCTTGAAATTGAGCTTTTCCGAAGAAAAATCAATTTTTCGGAAAGTCTCTGCACGATGGAGAAAAATTAGAGTTATTTTCGGGTTCAGCAGCCAAAATTACACAGCAAAGACACAACTATGCATTGCATTCCCATTAAAATTTCCTTCCTGTTCCTAATATCGAGGTTTTTTTTCGGACAAGTGCTCCTTTCCGCCCATACAGGGTTATCCAAAAGTCACTGACCACCCCTGTAACTTTTTTCCAAATTGAGATAGAAGTTTGAAACTTTGGGAATGTTCCTCGGTCTAAAGTAGCAACTTTTTGGTCCCCCCAAAATTTTGGGGGGCGGCCCCCCCTAAGGGGGGCGGGGGCTAACTTTTTTTTTCAAATGGCAACCCCCCCTTTGTGATACCTCATTCGAAAGATAATAAAAAAGAAAATTTTTGGCGCAAACCGCAGGTCAAAATGTTGATTTTTGACAAAATGGTGGCCGGTCAAAGTTCAAAATGGCGGAAATTTGGCATCTCCGTTTTTTATCGACGGATTGGTCTGAAACTCAGAATCCTAGGGTTTTTTGGGACGAAAAAAACGATTCTGGCATCGTTTTTCCAGAAAAGTCAGTCCTTTTCAAAATGGCGGCCTAGAGCGAGAAGTGGATATTTAGGCTGCTTATCGTTGGATTTGCATGAAACTTGGTATCCGGGGGTATTTCGGCACGAGAAGAACGAATCTTTCATTGGATATCTGAAATTCAGAAGAATTTCAAAATGGCGGCTAAAAAGTGGCGATAAATCAGTTTTCCGGCTGTTTACCAATGGATTTGCATGAAATTCGATATCCTGGTGGTTTTTGGCTGGATAAAAAGAAATCTTTCATTAATTCTTGAAATACTAAATAATCGATATCGCATTTCATGCAAATACATCGGTAAACAGCCGTAAAACTGATTTCTCGCCACTTTTTCGCCGTCATTTTGATTTTCTTCGGAATTTCAGATATCCAATGAAAGATTCGTTCTTCTCGTGCCGAAATACCCCCGGATACCAAGTTTCATGCAAATCCAACGATAAGCAGCCTAAATATCCACTTCTCGCTCTAGGCTGCCATTTTGACCGCCGCCATTTTGAAAAGGACTGACTTTTCTGGAAAACCGATGCCAGAATCGTTTTTCTCGTCCCAAAAAATCTAAGGTTCTGAATTTCAGACCAATCCGTCGATAAAAAACGGAGATGCCAAATTTCCGCCATTTTGAACTTTGACCGACCGCCATTTTGTCAAAAATCAACATTTTGACCTGCGGGTTGCGCCAAAAATTTTCTTTTTTTATTATCTTTCGAATGAGGTATCACAAAGGGGGGGTTGCCATTTGAAAAAAAAAGTTAGCCCCCGCCCCCCTTAGGGGGGCCGCCCCCCAAAATTTTGGGGGGACCAAAAAGTTGCTACTTTAGACCGAGGAACATTCCCAAAGTTTCAAACTTCTATCTCAATTTGGAAAAAAGTTACAGGGGTGGTCAGTGACTTTTGGATAACCCTGTATAGCACCATGTTAAACTCATCCGATTGTTTTGCAAAAGAAAATAATTTATTTTTTCTCTGGCAACAACTTGAGTTATACCCACTTGATTTTTGCTTTGGAAGCCGAAAATGACCTTCGTTTTCTTCCAAAACTACCAAATTTTTGCAATCAATGTCTACCAAAATTTTACAAGTTCAATCTAAAAAAAAAAATAATTGATCATTTGCTACTGCGTTCGACAAAACGCCCGATTTTACTTCCAGTCACTGCAACACATAATTTGATGATTTATTTCAGATGACTCGTTTAGCGGCGATCCTTATTGTGGCCACTATCGGGGTTTCGGGAGTTTTCGGAGAACACAAGGCGAACCTTGAAACTTGGCTGAGCTCCAAAATGCCGCTGTCGGAAAGCTTCCTCGAAAAAGTATTCGGAGATTTCACTCTTGAGTACGGCAAAAAGTATGACCCGATCGAGAAATCCGTGAGGTATTCTCAATTTGCGAAAAACATCCGGAAAATTCAAAAACTCAACGCTGAGGAGACAGGAACTGCCACTTACGGAATCAATGAAATGACCGATTGGACCCAAGAAGAGTTCCTTGCAAAACGGGCCAACGCGAAACCGGAGACGTTTTTTGGGATTGAGGCTCTTCCTGTGGTCAATGTCACAGCGTCTCAGTTAGCACAGGTACAATATAATATCCGGCCAAAGTATCACAAGCGCCCATAGAGAAAAAAAAGGAGGTGTTTGCATCTTGAGGTTTGTTTACTAGCTATGACGTAGGTCGGTACAACCTGACCAGCGAAATCCGGAATTCGAAGTATGAAAAACGGACCATAATGTCCCATTTTTTTTGCTTAAATCAACTCATGATATAATTTCAAGCACTTTTTATAGAATGACTTTTTCCCATAAATTACACCATTTCCAAGAAAATCGATGATAAAAGTCGATGTGCCGACCTACGTCATCAAAAAAATTCCAAGATGCCCGAAATGCAAACACCTCCTTTTTTTTCTCTATGACAAGCGCCGTGCGACGCTTCAAAATTTCCGCCGCCATTATATTTAATTACACAAAACTTATTGGTTGAATCTGTTTGAAAACTTCAGTGAATTTTATCGGCAGCACGAAGAAAATTCAGTGAAATTTTTGGACAGCTTTGTTGAACGATTTCTCTGTAAAAAAATGAAATGGCGGCGGAAATTTTGAAACGTCGCATGGCACTTGTGATACTTTGGCCGGAAGGTGACGATATACCAGTTCATTTGATGGGCTTCGAGGACAAGGCACATGAGAGGAGTTTTTGCTTGTTAAAGAATCAAGTGTTTGATGTTTCAAAATTACTTGACGTTTTATGGCGATGAGAAAGTTCAAACTCAATTTTTGATGCTTAAAAATTAGAACATATTTTAAGACTAGCTAATTTTTGGTTGTAATTGTTAATACCTCATTTTTTTCAAAAATTGCACTTACACGCCTAGTCCTTCAAGCCCCTTCCTTATGTATGATTCTGTAGACTTATAAAGATCTTACCTCGTTATCGTGGAACTATAAAAAAAAATTTCCGTAAAAGTCGAGTGATCGATGGGGACGTGTTGGGATATTTAGACGTATTTCTATCAAACAGGACTATGTACATTGTGACGTGAGCCCTGTAATGCATATATTCTTTTGGGCCTCAGGGCTCTTAATGCACACAGTTCCCTTTGGCAGAAATACGTCCATTTCTCATTGAAGCAAAATAACTGAAATACCACTGTTATTCAAATGTGAATGTCAGTTCAGGAATATTTCTTTGGCCGGTCTACGTCAGGGCCGGATTGAGGGGGTGGCCTCATGGGCCCCGGCCCATGGCGGCAAAATGTAGGGGGCGGCAAATTTTACAATCTTTTTTAATGTAGGTATCAAAAAAAGAGAGATAAAATCGGATTCAGAACATACGTGACAAACGAGGAGAGGCGGCAAAATCTCTCATTTCTTGAGAGTAAAAGTATAGTAATTAATAAATATGTCGTCTTTCGGTTACTTAGTCGAGATAAGAGGGAAACCAAACACGCAATTTGACCTGGACGGAGCGGCGCGGCGCACAGTGGATCGAGTCAATCAGAGAGGTCGGACATAAAATTTTTGACTAAAACTGCAAATCCTGATGTTTATTTTATCATAATTTTAATTAAAAGGGGTGCTTCTAACAGAAAATTTCACGGGAAAACCATTGGAGCCATTTTTAAAACCTCAAAGTTTTGTATGAACGGAGTTATAAGCGCTTAAAGTTTCCAAATGTTGTCCGACCTCTCCGATTGACTCGGTCCACTGTGCGGCGGTCGGCATGAAACGCATAGCGCCTACAAGACTGCATGAATACTTCACGCATTGCGTCAAACACACTGCGGTCGGCTTGAAACGCATAGCGCCTACAAGACTGCATGATTACTTCACGCATTGCGCCAAACAGTGTGGTCAGCAGCGGTCGGCGTGAATTGAGTTGAACAGGAGAAAACTTACAGTTATAGATACAATATTCATATTGTATCTATAACTGTACGTTTTCTCCTCTTTTATTGTATTTTTTTCTATATGTTGAACCTTATGATGACACAATTTTGTATCTTCGACTCGTTCTCAGATCCCGGTTAGCTTCGACTGGCGACAACTGGGCAAGGTTTCCCCTGTCAAAGACCAGGGAATCTGTGGATCTTGTTGGGCTTTTGCAACCGTGTCCGTCATGGAAACGGCTAAGGCGATCAAATACGATGTCCTCCAGAACATGTCCGAGCAACAACTTCTGGATTGTGACAAAAAATCTGAAGGCTGCAGAGGAGGTACTCATCAACTTGATACACCCGGATAAAATGTTAATTTTTCCTCGTAGAATTTTCACACCATCTTACCTCTAAAAGAAGTCGATAGTGCAGATGACACAGAATATGCTGCAGTATACTGTGTATGGATGTTCTTCAAATCAGGTGAAATGTGCGGTACCGGACTGGCTCGGATAAGCAAAAAATTCCCATAAAACGATGAGACACGAACAATAAAATATGATTGATGAATTAGCGCTCATTCCTTCGGTGCTTTAAATAGACAAACTATACACATAATGAGCGGGACAAACATGGCGATAACCGTAATAGCACACCGCACAAGTTTGTTTTGAAAACGTATTTTATTAATTATTAAAAAAAAACACATATATGGAAAATAATCGACAATTAGTTTTAGTTATTCTAGAAAATATCTCGGGCATTCTTAGTTCCGGTAAACCATTGCTGGATCTGATGAACAAATGTTTCTCATGTTTAGTTTTTTATGAAATGAAAAAAAAATGTTTGTAGAGAACTCATTTTCGAAAACACGTTTAAACTGTAAAAAAATTATTTTTATTTGCAGGAACAAATTTCAAAAATACCTCCATTTAATCGGTCGTTTTCAGAGTAATTTATAAAGCATATTGAAACGCATTCCAATGGTAGAGCTGCAAAAAATCCTGTTTTTTGCAGACTTCCTGTCATACTTTATTTTCTTAGAGGAAAACTACTTATCGGTGTTTCTTGAAAAACTCTGGTGATTCGTTTTCTAAGTGTGAAGAATGTTGTCCGAAAATTTCAAGCCATAATGCGCTAGTTAGGTTTCTTTTAAAAATTAAATAGTCGCGTAGATTTTGAAACCCCGCAACTGATGAGGCAGGAATTTTTGCAATTTTACCGTCGAATTTTGAAATTCTTCAGTGTCTCAAAAGATTTTTTTATAACAACTTTTAAGCGCCATCGTGCTATCCTGCCGTGCTATGGAAAAACACCGCATGAACATTCAAGAGTTGTCGGATTTCGTCTGATAAAACGTTTATTTTGGGAGAAAGTTGTGCATATTCTTCCTTGAAATTTTCAGATATTTTAGATTAAGTTGCAAAGACAATTGTCTAAAAATTTCGAAAAAAACCATTTACAATTTTTACAGAAAAGATTTTGTGCTAGAGGAAGTATAGCAACGTCTGATGGCTCATACGACATTTTTCCATGGCACGGCAGAATTGGGAAAGTGCCCATTGCTCTGAAGTCAAATAATTTATGTACTCTGACATTCCTTTAGGTTGGATGGAGTACGCTTTTCAGTCGATCAAAGACAAAGGCGGTTTGATGAGTGACGAAAAGTACCCATACGAGGGCAGGCAGTATCGCTGCAGAGTAAAACCTAAAAAAGTGGTGGCCAAGTTGGCGGAAGTCATGAGATTCGCGGACGGGGACACAAGTGAGATGACATACTGGATCGCTACCTCAGGCACCTGTTCCAACGCCATGAATTCTGAATCGCTCCAGTTTTATAAAAATGGCATAATTCGTAACGCAGGGTACGTATGCGATTGTATTTTGACGATTTCAAACTATAGATCAGAAAAAATAACGAGTTACACTGGAAAAAAAAACACATTGGATCTAGAGTCCAGACTCTTAAAAACATCGACAAGAAAAAATATTCTTGATTCAATCAGATTTAAGCTTAAATCAAGAACTAAGCCTCTTAATTTGAGCGGATTTTCTTTTGATTTAAGCTTAAATCTGATTGAATCAAGAGTCCTTTTTCTTGTCAATGTTTTCAAGAGTCTGGACTCTAGATCCAATGTGTTCTTTTTCCCAGTGTACTTCCAAATACCAAGTTTTAATGTCCAACATTATCGGAGAAATCGCCCCTTGTATGACGCTCCTCAACGAATGACGTCATCCATCGCGATGGTGCATAGCATGGTTTTATTTCACCTTGGCTTCACCTGTGTTTTATGGGATGGAAAATTTCAAATTTGTTTATTGCTTCAGCTGAGAGTGCTTGAAGAACGGAGTTTGCAATATTCTTTACACTGTTTTCCTGATAAGGGAAATAATTTTAAAATAAATTTAAAAGTGAGGAAATGCACCGCTTAGTGATGTCATCTGACGGTATCTCCCATTAAAACATACGTATTTTAGAAGATTCGGTTATTTTGTCATATCTTCTCCAGTAATTGTTTTAACCATGAACCAAGGGTATCCTGGTATTCAGTTCACTCAGTAGTTTCCACTTAAACACGATATCAATCAAATTTCAGGCACTTGCAATTTCTGTATTGGTGTTTGGTTATTATAACTCCTCCAATGCTCAATTTATGAACCGAGGATATCCTCGTGTTCAGATTACTCAGTAGTTTTAACTTAAACACGAAATTCATCACGATTCAGACACTTGCAACTTCTCAATTAAACTTCATTTTGTAATCATTAGGAACTACAATATCTGACTCATTTGTAAAAACACTCATCTGTGTACGGCAACTTATGGAACATACGTCATTTCTACAGTGAGCTGGAAATTGTAGTTCAAAATTTCAAAACGTAGTCCCATTGATGAATCCAACTTGGAGGAAACCATGGTAAACGCCATCACGATGGGTGGACGTCATACACCATGTTTTTCGAAGGGCGATGTCTTCGTTAATATTGGATGTAGAAACTAGGCGTTTCAATAGATCTTATTATTTTCTAATAATCTATATCAGTTCAAACCACTTCCTCAATGCTTCGAGTACTTACCTCAGCCTACAGAGTCACCACCAAGGAAATGGTCTTTTTTATTATAATGCATTCAGTTTTTTTCAGTCCATTCAACTTGAACTAAATTTTTGTATCGGCAGGTGCAGGGGTCGAGTAAATCACGCCGTGGTTCTCGTAGGATACGGCACGGAAAACGGTCAACATTTCTGGATCGTCAGGAATAGCTGGGGCAAGAAATGGGGTGAAGATGGTTACTTTAGAATCGCAAGAGGGGTGAACGCTTGTAACATCGAACAGTACTCTTGGGGTGCCACTATCATGTGAGGATAGGAAATTTGTAAGTTTTTATACAATTCTTACCTCCAACTTCTTAGTTTATAGAACGAACTACGGTAAAGAGCCATTTAATAATCACAGCTTGCTCCAAGAAGAACAAATCGAAAAGCTCTTCGTCGCCGGATTGAAAAATTGATTCTAATTTTAAGTTGGTCCATCTTAAAATTGCGACTTTAGATAGGTTATTTCGAGGCACCGATCTTTCTGCGCAAATAATCAGAAAAATCGTGACCGATAGTTGGGGCTATATGAAGTCGAAATTGATTTTTCGAATCAGCGAAGGATTAAAATTGGACTTCGTTTTGCAATACGGAACTATAATCTCTGGTTCATCTGTAAAAACACTTATGTGCACAGGGAAACTGATGGTGCATACGTTGTTTTTAAACTGAGGCTAGTTTTTAAGCTAGAAATCATAGTTTCAAATTGCAAAATGCAGTCCGATTGGCACTCTATTAACACATAACAACATTTTTATCAAATGTTGTCGAAATGTTGAAAACGTCGGCGGTATAAGGGCGTCGTTATGGAGACGCATTATCATTTTAATCTCAAAAATCGGAGAAACTTATCTAAGAAATAACTGATTTCTCGCTACCAATCATCTAATCCTATCGATTTTTTTTTAAAATTTAATTTTATTATTATTAGATAAGATTAACGAGGCACTAATCCACATGTCCCCTGAAGAAATTTACACCATAATATTGAATCTGGCTTTTGAAATTTTCAGGTCTAATCACACTGGTCCAAAGCTGTAATTTAAGACTCAACCCAAAAATGTATCACTCTATAATAAAGGTCGGTACAGTGTTTTGCAGCTCTCGGAGCCCTGGAGAAAGTTACTTTTCGCCCTTTTGGTCCCACATGTAGACATACTTGAGAGCAAACAACCTCACTTAAGAGTCTACCTTTGATTTTTCATATCATTGTTAAATTTGGTGTGTGAATATAGTTCCGCGATGCTGGACGCCTAAAACCATAGACTGATACCATACCACCTGAACCATAGATAGTTTCACACAAAAAGGAGAGGATCATCGTCATACTTCGATGTTACGTGTGCAATATTCATGGCTACTGGCACAACTCTTTTGACAGAAAGGTCGACATTCAATGCTGCAATCTTCATCGATCCATGGATTAAGACTCAAATTAAAATTTAATTTTATTATGATCGCGAAGCAGCTTCAAGGTTTTTAAATCAGTGACAATACTTGAGAGATATGATTAAATCTTTTATTTTCAGAACATTCTGGGATATATGAAAATGGACCAATGCGAAAATCTTCAATGCATAAGATATATACGGATGAAAGACGAGTCACTTTATAACATAATGTATAATCATACAGTATCATTTCTTACACTTTAGTTCATTCTTGTTAGTAACAAATGTACACCATCGTTAATACAACATACCGGGAAAATGAATGTAATGTGAAATAAAAGACCAATTACAAAATCAATTTTTTTGTGTCAATTTTTTACTACAAACGGAGGCCTTAAAAATAATATGCAGCTCATTATAGTGCTGTGAGACATATGTACTTTGTCAAAACAGATTTTATGGATGAATCTATTCTGTTCAATGAATTCAATATAATCCTGTACCTCCCCCGTGTCATTCATAATTGGACCGCGTTAAGCAGAAAGGAACCAAGCCACATTAGCTGTTGCCAGATTGAACAGGGCAATTTAATTTTTTACATTTAAACGGTTGTGCGGATTTTTGTGCAAATTTCAGTGAATTTTCTGCACGGCACGAAGCAAATTCCTCAAAATTTTTAAATGAATCCATACACACGTTTTTTAGTAAAAAATTAAATTGCCCAGTTAATTTTGGCAATGGCTGAAGTGGCTTGGCTTAACGCGATCCAATTGCAAAAGTGTTACAACATTTTAACATTCGATACGGAAATAATCTCAATGTTAACGATGAGGAATGGCTAACTTGATCATTCAAAGAACGAGAAAGTAACAAAATAGAATATCGGAAAATTAACGCTTGTAATAAGGAGAAAGATAGGAAGAAGAAAAGGTGGAAAATAGAAAAGGGAAGAATGGCTAACTTGATCATTCAATGAACGAGAAAGTAACAAAATAGAATATCGGAAAATTAACGCTTGTAATAAGGAGAAAGATAGGAAGAAGAAAAGGTGGAAAATAGAAAAGGGAAGATATCCTCATTTAACGAGTGCAGGGTTTGACAACTCTTGCTCAGATACGGTGATCGACGATAAAGATTCCATCTGACCAACCATTGGCGCTCCTTCATTTACACAAGTAGGCAATTTCATGACTCTCATGCTCGATAAGTTATCTCTTGAGGTTTGAAGGATATCATGAAGATAATGACACTCACTTATTTACACTCAAAGCAAAGCTTATTTCACGAAAACTCAAAATACTTTTTCATTACATAAAAAAATAAATAATTTTACTTCATTTACATACTTTGGTGTCTTGGACATGATCATTATCTCACCTTGCAAACTGGAATTGAGATCCGTCGTGCTCATAAGAAGGGACGAAATGTTTAGCACTCATGCCTGAAAAGGAGGATAAAAAATGACATCAATTGCAAATTTTGGGTAGGTACCAGCCTTGCCAAGATGAGTGTCAAGTCCAACACTGGTACCCGTAGCTAGTGCCTATCAAAAACTCGGCGATATCATTCCAGGACTCAGCTATTGAGTTGTTCTTTCGTGAAAGATCGTCCGTGAACTATGAGACATTGACCTAATACTGGAAGGTCCTAAATCAAATTCTAAAACTTGAAAAAATATGGAAAATGTACAGAGGCCTTATTATGATTAAGGCAAATTTGAATTCCACTGACTGAAATTCTTCAGTTGAGGTTCCAAATAAAAAATTTTGAATTGGCTTTGAAGAAAAACCTAGTTTAAATTTCTTGTTTATGAGTTTATCCCATTTTATAATTTTTTTCAAGGACATATTACATTTTGTAGCAAATTTCATTCACATTTTTTTTACAAACAAGGCAAATTAAACTTAATTTTTTTTTAAATTGAAGTAGTTTCTCGGGAATACTTCGGTAAAATTCAAACGCTTCCCTATTGAGGAAGTATGAGCTGGATCCCGTGAAAAATTGAACCTTTCCTCAAAAATAAATGTTTTATCTGAGGAAAGCTGGCAACTCTCGCATGTTAATACGGCGCACTCCCAAATTAAACGCACATTAAACGCAAAAATCAAAGCATTATACTATGCAAAAATCGTAGCACGGATTTGAATTTTACTCCTACGAGTTGATTTTATATCCATTGGACTACACTGGAAAAAAATAAACTCATTGGAGCTAGAGTCCAGACTCTTGAAAACATTGACAAGAAAAAATACTCTTGATTCAATCGGATTTTTGCTTGAATCAAAACGAAATCCGCTTAAATTAAGAGGCTTATTGGTTCTTGATTTCAGCTAGATTCTGATTGAATCAAGAGTACTTTTTCTTGTCGATGTTTTTAAGAGTCTGGACTCTAGATCCAATGTGTTTTTTTTCTGGTATAGATTTTGCAAAAAAGACATAGTACATTATTTCACACTCATTTCAGTAAAACTATACAAGTGCCATTATTTTTTCTAAGCATACAGTTCCTTTAATGAATGAGCCAGAAATAGTAGTACCATATTGCTAAATGTGGTCCCATTACTTTCAAAATTATTACACGGTGAGTCCTAAATACCTCTAGTTACGAGAGAGCTCTTTTATGATCCGATTCAGAGTCATATTCATGGATTTTCAAGAGTGGACGAGCACGAGCACCAGTGGCGTGGTGTGAATTGCGATATATCGATTATTCTGCCTTTTAAACCTGTGGTAAAGGATCGATGAACTGGGTGTTCGCACCGAACACCTTAATGATCGATTCTTTACCATAGGTTTAAATGGCATAACAATCGATACATCGCTATTCACGCCTCGCCACTGACGAGCACGTCTCTAATGGGGCCGGAATTTACCCGTTGGGATTTATTAATTCACGAGAAAACCCCTTCAAACTGTAGTCACATTCACCAGCAGGTGCAGAGAATCTCATTTATGCACAAGTATGCCCTTCAATTGGACATATGTATACTACTAGGAAATTCATATCGACGGACTTCATTTTGCGATAAGGAACTGCAAATACCATATTCCTAAGGGGGTCACCTAAAAATGTAGTGTTTAACTCTGGTAAAAATTGGCGATAAGAGCTGCATTTTAAAATACCATAGGAATTCTTAAAGCCGGCTAAATCAGGCTACAGAAAATCATATAGCTGGCTGTAGACTGCGGAGAAAATCATACGGCCGGGCTATACGAAGCGATAAAAAATTCTGCAGAAGGGCTATAGTTCCTATCGCCGGGCTGTACACTTTATCGCCTGGCTGTTGCTTTCTCGCCATCGATTATAAAAGGCCATAAGAAATTGTGTAGAAATTCGTGTGCTTTGGAAATCATTAAGTTTGATACGGAACCACCTTAATATTTACAAAACACACGTTATATTTTCCTTTAGTACATATTTTTTTTTCATCAATTAAAACGAGAATAATCCATACAGGATGTGCAAACATTTCAAAATCATGAGTTGAATAACGCTGACTCCGCCAGATTAAATATTAGAGCCTAACACAAAGCGGAGCGGCGACGCACGGGCGCCTACAAACCTAACAGGGATACTTCACGCATTGCGCAACGCGTGAAGTATCCCTGTTAGGTTTGTAGGCGCCAATGCGCGTTCCGCGCTAGCTGCCCGCCTGCCTGCCGCACCGCAGCGTGCCACGGCGCTTGAAGCAACTATTTCACATCAGAGGTATTGCACAGCATCATACGAAACTGAAGGCGCTCTAATATATTAGGAATGGCAGGCATCCATTAAAAGTACGGAGCTTTCATCGCAAAATAAATCAAGATACTACGGCCCAAAAAGAGAGCAGTGGTCCGAAAACTCACTAAGTCCTAGCATCCGTAATTAGTGACGTTTAGGATACACTTAATCGCCTGGCTGTGAGTTGCTTAGTCGCCATCGGCTATAAAAGGATATAAGAAATTGTTTAGCCGGCTATAGAAGCTATTGGAAATCTTACAGCCGGCCGTAGGTCTATGGTATTTTGGAACACAGATTCTACTGCCAATTTGTACCAGGGAAAACATGTATCTGCAGGAAGTTAATTCCAATGACACTGCCGCCGCGAAACAATAATTCTCAAACCACGTATCTCGGAATTTAGTGTTATGATCCTTATTAGTTCCCAGAGCACGTATCTCTGAACTTCGATCATTTCTCCTGACGAATAAGAATATCATTCAAAATGATGACAATGCCCTAAAAAGCATCTTATCAATGCTATCTTCAATAATTATTTCCCCTCTACGTTCAAAGGTGATAGATGGAGACAGTTTTCTCGCTTTCTTAAAAAATCGAGGCTCCAAGATACATGGTTACATATTAAGCAGAAAGGAACCAAGCCACATCAGCCATTGCCAAAAGTCAAGCAATGTAATTTTTTACATGTAAACGATTTTTCGAATTTTCGTGCAAATTTCAGGGAATTCTCTGCATAGTACGAAACAAATCCCTTAAAACTTTCAAAGGAATGTGCACCAACGTTCTCTTATAAAAAATCAAATTGCTCGGTTGAATTTGGCAAAAGCTAAGGTGGATTGGTTCCTTTCCTCTAAACGCGGTCTACATGAGGCATTGGTTCCCATAGATTAGAGCTGATAAGCACATCACAGAGAAACCAGAAATCCCAATTGCAAAATACAGTCCAGTCAGAGCGCCATGTAAGCAGAGGCAGATCCAGCGATTTGGCAACACCAGATTTCCACCATTCAAACCCATGCTAAATAATCAATTCTTGTCGAACCACCTGGCCCCTCCAAGAATCGATACATTTCTATATTTTCAAATGGAGAATAGACAATTCGGCCATTTTGCTGGATCCGCCAATGCATGCAAGTGCATTATTCCTAGGCGTGCGATTTACGTTACTACGGGAAAAACTTTCTCCTGTCCGAAGAAAGGGAAAAGAGCGATCACTATTAAGTGCTCTTCAGATGACAGTTCCTCTAAATTGCTCGGAATGTTAAGTGCGATCTTCTGTTTGACGCATTTCGACAATTTTAACTACGACACACGTGCTACAACAACTCGTTTACGTTCGGAGGAAAGAATTTGAAGGAGTTGCGCTAGGAGTCAAGTACGTGAAACCAATATACGCAGATTTGGAGGGCCATTATGTCGGTTGCCGCATTTACGCTCAAACTCGTTGGATTTTTATTCTTACAAGAGCAAGCTCAGAAATACGTTAAGTAGGTACTCTGTTTCTTGCAGTATTCATTTTATGAAAGAGAGCTATCTTAATGCAAAGCGGCTCCATCCAGTGCCGCAGCGTGCTTTGCGATGTATCGATTAATCCGCCATTTAAACCTATGGAAAAGGATCGATAAACAGGGTGTTCGCAACGAAAACCTTAATAATCGATTCTTTACCATAGCTCCAAATGGGGATGATAAATCGAAAATCGATCATTCACCCCTCGCCACTGGTTCCCTCCGAAGGATTTCATGAGGGATACTGAGAAAAAAAAGTCGGGTTAGATGAACCGTGGAGAGTTGTTCCAAGTCGGTCAGATTATTCGGTCCTTCATACGCACTTCTCAGTTCATGGAGCTGTGCTTTGGTTCATATGACCTGCTTTTAAACTAAACCAAACTGTGAATGTAGCACAATACTGCCTTGCAGAAAAACACCGCATGAGCTCTCAGGGGTTGTCATATAATCTTTGAAAAAAAAACACGGATTTGTTGGTGAACCTAAGAATATTTTTGTTCTGATTTTTCGGATTTTTGCGTTCGGAATTCTTTCTAAAGGTCCTGAAAATATCGAGTAAAAATATTCACATTTTCTCTCAAAAATAAACATTTTATGGGAGGCAATTTGGCAGCTCTCGAGTGTTCATACGGTGTTCTTCCCAAGCACGGCAGAGTAGCAAGCATGAACATGAACTGCATTTTGCCATTTGGAACTATAAATTCTGGCTCCTCTGGAAAAACATATTATGTGCATGGGGTAACTAATGTCACATACGTCGTTTTTAAACTGGGCTAGAATTTATAGTTCCAAATTGCAAAATGTAGTCTAACTAATCTTTAGAAAGAGCTCAGCTACATCACATGAGGATGTGGGTACCAGAACCGAAAGCAAGACTAACAATGAGTTCTTTTTCTAACTGCAATGCTACTATGCCAAAGAAGGACACTGAATGAGCATTTAGAGTGTGCCAAATTCCTCTCATAGAATGAGAATTTTCCGGGAAATACATGCATGTTCTTCAATTTATTTTTCAGACACTTTTGCTCATAATTTCATCGAATGTAACCAAAAAACAGGAGAAAATAGGTAACCAAGGCTAAAAAACGACAAACAAAAAGCCTGGAACATTCCAGGGTTGTTTCAACCCCTTCTTCGACCAGAAACGGGGAGAGGGCATACGTCCCTTACAGCCCCCTCCCCCTCTCACTTAAGAGATCCTCCAATAGTCAAATATATATGGTTAAACCATGTTTCCCGCGAGAATTTCGGGATATACAAAACAGAGAGATTTCACAAACATTTTGGGGAAAACACGGTGGTACACTGAAAAAAAAATTCTCGGCGTTTATACCACGGTCCGTTGGTACCTTTACCATCTCACTTTTTTTACCAATTATTGGTAATTTTATCAGGACAGACTGGTAAGCTTACCTAAAAACCGGTATTTTTACTGTTTTTTCAGGTAAGAATACCACTTTTATTGGTAATAAATTCCCGGTAACTTTGTCATTTTATCTCGGTAATTCTACCACAGTCGATAGTAAATATTGGCGTTTTTACCAAGGTCCAGTTAAATTACCGAGAAAGTTCAATAAGTAAATTACCAATTCCATAAATGGTAATTTTACCAAGAAAAAACTGGGATCAAATAGAACCCTGAATTCTTGGTAATTTTACCATTTTCTTAGTAAATACACCGAGATTTTTTTTTCAGTGTACAATTCTTCTTCATCATCTTCTGATTCTTATTCCTCTACTTCATTTTCCTCAGATCCTTATTTTTCCTCCACCTTCCCCCCGTCCTTCCCCCGTCCTCCCCCTAGTCCTCCCCCTCTCCCCTCCCCTTCCACCACTTCCCCCCTCCTCTTTCTTTTTCTCCCTCTCCTTCTGATATTATAAATTTGCACGATTTGTTTGCCTGTGACTTTTTACACAAGTGGCCGGCAAGTAGCACAAATTATATCGATGCCTCAATGACGTCATAACGACGGATGGGACGGCAATCCCGTTCATCAGTATTATTCCTTCCAACGTGAATTTTCGATTGCCACGAACTAGCTCACGTTTCTTCGACACCTCCAGCAGCACCCTTTACCGGGAACTGAACTAATCTAGTATCTATGAGGAAAGTAAGCCCCCTTCAAATCACTGTTGCCCAGTGGCGTGGCAAGAAGGATCGATTATCGATAAATCTCCATTTGAAGCTATGGTAAAGAATCGATTACTAAGGTGTTCGCTGCGAACGCTCTGATAATCGATCTTTTTTCATAGGTTTGAATGGTGAATCAATCGATATATCGCAAAGCACGCCATGCCACTGCTGTTGCCGTCGCCAGGAAGTGCCGATATTCACCCTCAAGTGGATGGAATTACTATGCTATGTTCGCAACACGGCACTTCAATTTGACTACATAAGGTCGTGAGTGCGCGGCAAAAAATTCATCTTTGAACTACCATTCGAAGTGTGCGGTTTATTCGGTGGACGTTTCGCTAAGAAAATTTCGAAGTCTCGCTCTGAAGGTTAGATAATTTTCCATCAAAACTAACTTATATGTTATTCGTCCTAGGTTCTTCGGTGCAATCAATACAAGGTGGTGCGCGATTTATGACACCAATCGAACAAAAGATCTGTGCAGATTATGACATTTCAGCCCAAAATAGAACGATAGCTTGTGCACGAGCCTGAAGAATCATTCTCAACAATAAAACTTGCTAAATTCGGAGAAATGAGTGAAAGATCTACGTTGAATGCAATGTGTTTTCGGTAGTTACATCCTGCTTACATTTCTCCAACTTTGAAAATTTTGTCGTCGTTGAGGATAATTCTTTAGACTCGTGCATTGGGCTAGCGTTCTTCTTTCTTGGCTGTAAGTCAAAATCTGCCCAAATTTTCGACGTACCTAATCGAGGCGACATATCTCGCACTCCAAAAGGACAACCCCAAGAACCCAGGGCAGAGTCCCCAAATAAACGGCTTATACAAAAAAATTAATAAAATATTCCATGAAGGGAGGTTCGATAAAAGAACCGGTTCAAATTAAGCTGAAATTGGGCACATGGAAATTCTTATTTCTGTTCCTTTGATTCAACTGACCGTTATCAAGTTTCAATTATTGGCTCAGTGATTGTATTTATCTCCATTCATTAAGCTGATTTCAATAGCACCGATCTCAAACGAAACGGAAACCTATACATCAGCAGAGGCAGATTCAGCAATTTAGCAACACCGGATTTTCTCCATTTAAACCTATGCTAGATAATCGATTCTTGTCGGAGCACCTGGCCCCTCCAAGAATCGATACATTTCCATATGATTAAATGGAGGAAAGACAATGTTGCCAAATTCCTGGATCCGCCAGTGTAAATCAGGACCAATGGCGCGCGCGATAATATTTTTTCGGAAAATTTGTTTTCGTTCGGTCCTGAACTTTCAGTCTTTTGCGATAGCGGTCAATTTAAGCTGGTATACGATCTTCCAGTCGAACATTAGAAGAGGACCATGGCACAAACATGTACGATCCAAGTTTTCAACCAAAATCCTCAAAAAGTACTCTACTGAAAATTTTGTGTTCATAAATTGGACGTATTTCTGCCAAACGGAACTATGTGCATTAAGACATAAGCCCTGAGACTAGTATGAATATAGTATGCATAACAGAGCTCACGTCATAATGCACATAGTTCCGTTTGACAGAATTACGTCCACTTAAGATCTTTTACCCCTTTAATTGCATAGAGTACATAGAGTCGTAATGTAAATGGGAGAGCTGGAGCCATGTTCTGCTCGACGAATTCCGAGGCCGGTGTGCGCCGAGTTCGGGTCGCTTTTTCGATACATGTTCAATTCAAAATGGCGGTGTGGAATACGTGGTAATTCCTATCTTCTTTGTTGCTGTTGTTGTTGTTGTTGTTGTAGTCATCGGATGGCCGGGTACCCGTGTATCGCAAACAATCGATTATGTATCGAAAAAGTGACCCGGCGTCACACAGGAGTCTCGGAATTCGGGACATGGAAAATGCTTAAAAGTGGCGCCAGCTCTCCCAATTACATTACGACTCTATGTACTCTATGTTTAGGGACGGCCGTGGCCCCTTTTGACGTCACATATCACAAAAACGTTATACTCTGAATGTTTACAAAATGAACCTTTCAATGAGCTGATCTTTCCATACCACCTTATTCCATCAATATATTCTGGGTTTTTTTTTCATTACAGATGGCTCTGTTAGCCGTGCCTCAATTACTTTTATTAACGCTCTTCAGCTCTGGAGTTTTCGGTGTTCCACGGGATCGGAGGAGTCAATCTCAGGTTCCTGCCGCGGGGGAGCTTTCAAATAGTGATGTGGCTGTAGATTTCGAATTGTTTTGTTTTATATATAATAAAACATATGACCTGGTGGAAGCTTTGAGAAGGAAAGCAATTTTCTTGGAAAACCTTTCAAAAATCGCACAACTCAATGCTAACAAGGAAAATAACGTTGAGTATGGGATGAACGAAATGACTGATTTAACCCCTGCGGAATTCCGGGCAACCAGGGCAAACTTAAAGCCAGAGGCGCTGGCCTTCGTGCGTTCCTTGCCTGTAGTTGAGCCGGCATTTGCCACAGTGCAGGTAAGAGATCTAAATGATTTAATTCCTCACTTGGGATCGTCCATGAAACATTTAACCCTCTAATGCATGGTATTTTTTTCCGACGCCGATTTTGATGAAAAAAAAATATATGTTATAGTAAAATGAAATTAAAAAGACACTTCTTTGAGCTTTTTTCGAAATTTTAATTTTTTCTTTAACTTTTGAAGTTTGAAAAAGCTCGTTGCCATACGGTAACAACATACAGTAATTTTTTGCCAGAGTATCCGCTTGTTTCCATATGGCAACAACATTCAGTACAGGAGTGGAATAGTGACGGCAGGGCATAACTCTTGTGAGGGACTTTTGAAAAAAAACCAAGAAAAATTTTTTTTTTTTATTCTTATAACAATGCTAAATTCAAAAAGCGTCTGATGATGAATTGTAATCTCTATTTTCGAACAGCATGGCAACAGGAAAAATTTTGGGCCAGAAGTTAGCCGGTATGTTGTTGCCATATGGCATCTTGCCGTTTTTGAATCGAAAATAATATTTTAATCATTTTTTTTCTCATCAGTCCAGAAAATTTTCAATCTAGATAGTGTAGGCAATGACTGTGATTTTTCTCCCGTTCCCTAGAATCCACAATTCCACACCGGTACCAATATGAGCATTCCTGAATTTCACAAGGGACCCTTAAACTCATACACTGTAGTTTTCATTTCTCACTGCATATATTGGGTTTTTCCAAAATGACGTTACCTATATTTTAAGTCATATTTACGATTATACCACATATCGACGGCGTAAGTTCGCAACTACGTATCTCCTTTGCGGTGTTTGAAAATCTCCGCCTCTATATTATGTTTTTAAAGGAGAACAAATTGGCATCATTCCTTGCAGTTTTTGCAGAATTTTCTTCGCAAAGAGAAGACGAATCATGCCAGTTTTTAAGAAGTGCCGTTGAGTAGTTTTCCGTTTAAGAAATAAAGTATGGCAGGAAGTCTGCGACGTCGCAAACCGAGACACGTGGTTGCAGACTTACACCGTCAATATATTATTTACTACCACCTGCAAATGTGCGATTATCATTATTTACACAAATTACTTTTTTTTTAATAGACCTAAGAATGCGGAGTACTTCCAGTGCAGGCAGCGCAACTGATAGGCGTCCTGTCCTGATAGCGACCTGTTGCAAACCTTAGCTAGAGCAAAAATAAGAGTTGTTCTTTGAGGAATATGTCTCAAAAATCACGATGAGCGCATCGGCAAACTCTGAAATGCACTCCTAACTTCACAATCTACGTGAGAAATTTGCGTCTTTTTAAGCTTCCCGCTTCATAAAGGATACTACAGCACAGGTAAACATCGAAGCTTTTGCGCGTAGGTTGAGGAGAGCACGAGGTCAATCAAGGCGCGGATATCTATCAACGCAAGAAAAATGTGAATGTAAACACGCCGATTGTTATCAAGTGGCTGGAATCCTCGTCCCGTCACATGTTTTTGGCGCCGGCTATGTTGGATATTGCGTAGTATCCTTGTGAGCTCCCCTGTGAGCAGGGGAATAATGGAATGACTCCTCTAACGAAATGTTCATCTGTGCCGAGGTATCGTTTTTGAAGCGGGAAGCTCGAAAAAACGCAAATTTCTTGCGCAAATTGTGAAGTAAGGAGTGCATTTCAGACTTTTACGATGCGCTCATCGTCATTTCTGAAGCACTTTCTATGATTAACAACTCTTATTTTTGCTCTAGCAAAAGTTTGCAACAGGCCCATTTAAAATATTTTAATTTTGAAAAAAATAATTTAAAATTTTAAAAATGAGGGGCTTGGAGGATAAGGCGCATAAGTGCAGTTTTTGCAAGCTCAGAAAAAACGTTTGAAGTTTCGAAAATACATGCGAATCCTTATGGCGGAAAGGAAGTTCAAACTGACTTTTTGATGCTTAAAAATTGGAATTTGGGATCGAACTTTTCACAGAATATGCAAGAGTAGTTTTACTTGAAATTATTAATACTAAATTTTTCAAGAACTGCACTTACACATCTTGCCCTCCAAGCCCCTCTAATACTGTTTTAATTTTGAAAACTGAAGCATTCAGAAAAATTGCTCATTCAATCCCTGGTAAAAATTGGCAGTAGAATATGTGTTCCGAAATACCATAGACCTACGGCCATCTGTAAGATTTCCAATAGCCTCTATAGCCGGCTACACAATTTCTTATAGCCTTTTATAGCCGATGGCGACTAAGCAACTCACAGCCAGGCGATAAAGTCTATGCTAAACGTCACCAATTACGGATGCTAGGACATAGTGAGTTTTTGGACCACTGCTCTCTTTTTGGGCCGTAGTATCTTGATTTATTTTGCGAGGAAAGCTCCCTACTTTTGATGGATGCCTGCCATTCCTAATATATTAGAGCGCATTCAGTTTCGTATGATACTGTACAATACCTCTGGTGTGAAATAGTTGCTTCAAGCGCCGTGGCACGCTGCGGTGCGGCAGGCGGGCAGCCAGCTCGAAACGCGCATCGGCGCCTACAAACCTAACAGGGATACTTCACGCGTTGCGCAATGCGTGAAGTATCCCTGTTAGGTTTGTAGGCGCCAGTGCGTCGCCGCTCCGCTTTGTGTTAGGCTCTAATATATTTAATCTGGCAGAGTCAACGTTATTCAACTCATAATTTTGAAATGTTTGCACATCCTGTATGGATTATTCTCGTTTTAATTGATGAAAAAAAATATGTATTAAAGGAAAATATAACGTGTGTTTTGTAAATATTAAGGTGGTTCCGTATCAAACTTAATGATTTCCAAAGCACACGAATTTCTACACAATTTCTTATGGCCTTTTATAATCGATGGCGAAAAAGCAACAGCCAGACGATAAAGTGTAAAGCTCGGCTATAGGAACTGTAGCCCGGCTGCATAATTTTTTATCGCTTCGTATAGCCCGGCCGTATGATTTTCTCCGCATTCTACAGCCAGCTACATGATTTTCTGTAGCCTTCTTTAGCCGGCTATAAGAATTCCTATGGTATTTTGAAACGCAGCTTTTATCGCCAATTTTTACCAGGAAATCCAGAGAAACACGTGTCTTTTGTCATCATACGACTTCCTCAAAGCTTGAAACCGCGTAAACCATTCAAAATGTAATCGCTAACAGTCCTATAAATCTCTGGGGACGGAGATTTGTTTCTGATGGGATTGAAATCCGCACAAAAACCATTTTAGAGGTCTTGATGTCGGTCTTTCGCAATGGCACGTAACTTCACGACCAGACCTCACTGAGAGTGTTTCACTGGTTTTATGATAATTTTTTTTTTTTTTTTTATTTTAAAATTTGTCCCACAGGCTTCTTCTAAAGACTGGCGCTCAGAGAACAAGGTGACGCCGATTAAAAATCAAGGAAGCTGCGGCTCTTGCTATACGTTCTCGACCTGTGTTGGGGTTGAGAGCGGTCACGCCATTAAACACGGCAGTCTGACGAGTCTCTCCGAGCAGCAACTTCTAGACTGTGACCGTAAATCTTCTGGGTGTAATGGAGGTGTGCATAGTTTCTCACAGCCCTATTTTTAAAAATAACTCTGTAAAGAGCGACGCCAAAAACGACCGTTTTTTTGGCACAATTTGGGTTAGCGGGGATTCTTCTGAAACCGGACCCGAACGATATGATACTCTAAAACTCTGGTAGTTGTAGCTTGAGTATACGCTTGAGTCCCCGATTTCTCCCCATTTTGGACCACTGTGTGACCGAAATTTTTGAAACTGAACACAGCTATATGCTCGGGGGCTCAATGAGAACATTTACAGCTAAAACCCATCAAAGGTGTAACTTTTACGTCCATTTTCCCCGTCTTTTTGCTGTAAAAATGCTGTCCAGAATGATGGCGATTCGGCAACTTTGCCACCTCATTTCTCAAAAACCGTGCGTATACTCAAGCTAAAATTTTTACCAGAGTTTTAGGGTATCATATAAGGTATCATTGGGGCTCGGTTTCAGAAAAATCCCTGCTGACCCAAATTGTGCCATTCTTGACGTCGCTCTTTTAACGTTTCTGCTGCAAATTTAGCATGGAGAGTTAAAGTAATTGGGAACTAAAACAGTATGGTGGAGGTTTTAGCCAACGTGCGTTAAAAATTCAGCATAAAGCTGAAAATCTCAATACAGAGGGAAAAAGCTCATAGGAGCACAGTTTTCCCTCAAAGAGATATTCTGTTTGGTGCAACATTAGTTACGTCCATTGAGGAAGGCACTGCAGATGCGTTTCGGCCTTGTTGGGCCAATCCTCAGTGCAGTGCAGCCTCCTGAATTTTCTGCTACCAAGCTCGAGAGCACCAAACAGCATATCTCTTTGAGGGAAACCTGTGCTTATATGAGCTTTTCCCCTCTGTATTGAGATTTTCAGCTTTATGCTGAATTTTTGAGGACGTTGGCAAAAACCTCCAACATACTGTCTTACGACCCGTGCGTCCACCTCAATCAGTTTATAATTGGGAACTCTGTAAGTAGAATCAGAAAATGATCGGCTTTGCCAATAAGTCAATTGCGCTGGTCACAGAATCTTGTTTTGATGCTTTATTCTTGCAGATCAATTAAAAATAATAAGATCTGCCCAAACAGCAACTTTCTACGTTGAATATTAACTGAGATTTCGCTCCTTGAAAAACTCGATTTATGACCTCATCCACCGCGATAGTACATATCATGTTCTACACTACCGCGGTGGATGACGTCAATAACCCGCACCTTCAAAGGACGATATCTCGATTGATATTGAGCGTAGAAAGTTGCTGTTTAGATAGATCTGCTTATTTTTAGCTGATCTACAAGATTCAGGCAACAAAACTCAAGCCTGATACCAGCGAAACTGACCCATTGTACGTACCTTTGTGTATATTTTACCTTCCAAATGTTGATAGGGCCACAAAAGTTATATTAAATTTAAATTTAAATTTAATTAAATTTAATTGAGATTTTGGCCGCTTTGAAAATTGGTGCCTATTATCAGAGATGGAGAATGATCCACTTTATATAAATCTAAAGCGAATCAAAATTTAAAATATGCAAATTGCCTATTTTCTGTATAATAGTAATAATAATAATAGTACTTTACGATGAAAAAGAAACAAATTTTTATAAAGAATGATTCACTGAGAATAATATGCTCAGGATTATTGAGGGAGTCAAAAATAATGATACTTTACCCTAAGAGAGAAACAAACAATTTTTTTTAGAAAGCACCTCACGAATCTTTGAAAATATCACTGGAATATCATGATGAAGAGAAATAATGTAGAAATAACAACATGAAAAAAACCTAGCTGAGCCTCACAAATCACGAGAAATGTGTTACAAAGTCGTTGGTCGGAAAATTGTAAATGATCTATAGACTTGGTGGCGAATTAAAACCGAAAGGGAAAGTGGGGTTGGAGTAAGCAGTGGCGTGGCGTGAACGATCGATTATCGATATTTCCCCATATAAAGCTGTGGTAAAGAATCGATTATTCAGGTGTTCGTTGCGAACACCCTGTCAATCGATTTTTTTCCATAGGTTTAAATGGTAGATCGATCGATATATCGCAAGGCACGCCACGCCACTGAGAGTAAGGTAGTTCCAACCCCAGCGTTACGTTCTCAAGCGTTACGCTCATTAAGCTCATGATTTTTTTAATATAGAGTAAGATAAGGCTTCCCAGATGACATGTCCAAAACATTTAAGTCCAAAACTTTTATGTCCAGAAATTTCTTATGGCCAATTATTGACAAGTCCAATCAACTGATGTCCGAGAAACTAAGTTGTCCGCGTACAAAAAAGTTTAATTATGGAAGTCCAAAAGTATGAAATGTCAAACAAAGGTATCATACAATGTCCAATGCCGAGGAAGTGGTGTCTATACTCTATTCTGTGAAATAAAAAATGATTTTTTTTCTCTCGCCTATTGCTTGTGTACCCGAAAAACTGTACATAGTTCCCCTCCTCACGCATGGTAAATATTTTGGCCTTTTGAAATTGGACTTAATACATTTGCGCATTTCATTAATGGGCTTAAGTATACTTGGACCTCCAAAATTTGGTCATTATGATTTGGACGTTCCGCCTTTGGACATAGCATTTTGGACATTACAGTTTGGACTTTAAAATTTTGGACGCAACATCCGTGGATCATGGATCAAGATAAGATGAGTTAGAATATTCTAATGATACAACTGAAATTGCCTCAGCCAATATTAATTTCCGCGTTGGTTTCTTCTTTCCTTTTTATCATTTTGTTTCTTTCTCTTTTTGTAGGCTGGATGCCAAATAGTCTTGATTCAATCAAGGCGAAAGGTGGTCTTATGAGTGCGAGCGCATACCCATATGAGGGGAAACAGCGCTCATGTAGATTTAAATCTGGATCTGGGGTGGCACAAGTCAGCGACTACCAGCAGTTTAATAGCAAAGCTGAGAATGCCATCGCCCAATCAGTGTTAGCATCTGGTCCCGTAATCAATGCCATCTGTGCTACTAGCGACTTCCAGTACTATAAAAGCGGCATCTACAAAAACACTGCGTACGTTGACTGCATTTTATCTTTCACCAGTAGATCACTAGACAAGATACAAAAAGTGTTGCGTGTTCCGCTACAAATTTTCACGCAGAGCATAAGAAATTTTACTTAGCATTGGTTACGAAAAATTTGAATTCCCCATTCACGAGAAAAACAAGAGTCTAGGCATAAAATTATAGCAGGCAGAAAGGCTGAAGTTGGCCGTCTTTGCTCCAATGGACCACTGGACAAGGTAAGAATTTAAGCAATCACACATGTCTCTTCACCAGAATTTCACGTCGAACACGATTTGCACAACGAAAATTACTGAAACCTAGATCTAACGACGATCCTACTCTAACGAAGATATCAACTTTTTTATTTCACATTGGTTGCGAGGAATTTGAACTGCCCGCTCACAAGAAACTCAAAGCTCTACGTGAGTCAAATCGCGGACTACAACAGTTTCAGCAAGCTTCTCAATCGAGCAATGTTCATTTCCCACCATGTGTTGTTCAAACTATTATCAATTTGCTATAGCTGAGCCAAAGCGTCAAGATTGAGGTTGCCAGATTTTCATATCGCAGAGACTATCATGATAACGTTTAGCGCGCGATGTGAATCACGTAGATCATTGAGTTTTCATGAGCGGGTGGTTTGAATTCACGCATCAGGAGTCATTAAATATCTTCGTAAGGAGTTAATTTCGGCAACTTTGATCGTGCGCATCGTGTTCTACGTGAAATTTTAGTTACGAAACATGTATTAGAATACTGGAATTCGTACCTTGTCTAGTGGTCCATTCTTGAAGTCCCCGCGACCCCCATTCAGCCTGTGGTTTCAAACGCGGAGAATCGAAGCCAAGTCCGGCCGCTCTCACCCTACGTCTCTCTGCCGATTCAAATTTCGCGGGAAAGCGAAGCAAAATTCGCTTCGAAGAAGTGACTATACGCGATCTTACGGGAGAATCTGCCAGTTACCTCTCTGGGTAGCTATTATTCTATGATCTAGACACTTGACATAAATCGCTCACGACAATGGTTTTGGCTAGAGTACCTATATAGGGAGAGTATGGACACCTCGAAATATGTAGCTCTTAGGGCCCAAAAGGGTAGGTAACCTTTGAAAAAGAAAAATGTCACTGTCAATCTTTAGACTCGATCTAATATCAAACGAAAATGGACAAGAAAATTCATAAGTAAGCATTCTTCCGCACAAATGAGTAAGTTTATGCAAAAACCAAGTCAAATACATGCTTTACCAACGACAGTTCCCATCAATTGCGATTATAAATAAGTCTGGATAATTAGAATTCATAGATTGCCTACCCTTTTGGGGTCTGAGAGCTCCATCACACAACCTCAAAATTTTCGACATGTCTATACTCTCCCTATATAGGTAATCTAGTTTTGGCAGGCTCCGTAAACTATAGCAGTTTTCTCTCTCCACTTGGCGGTATTCAAAGCGTGAGCAACGTGCAGTGGAGTAGCTAGGAATTCCATAAGAGGGGGGGAGGCTCATTTATATTATTTTAGGTACGTTCCTGATAATATTTTATATCTGCCCTCCAAAATTAAGAAAATGTACAATTAACGAGGCTAAGGGGAGGGGGGTCCAGACCCCCTGGAACCCCCCCCCCCCCCCCATTGGCAAACGCCCTACGCCATTGGCAACGTGCAATAGCTAAGTCGAAGCGTCAATACTGATGCTGACATATTTTTATGCTGCAAATCTCACCAATCTTTATTCGCTTTTAGTCTGCGCTGTAATTCAAGAAGGTTATTTTTTTCGTGAACGGGAAGTTTGAATGTATGCATCGTAAAACGTTGAAATCTCTCTTAGGGGTTTCTTTCAGTAATTTTCGCTGTACAAATCGTGCTCTAAGAGAAATTTGGATGGGCAAACGTATACCATGATGCTTAAATGTGCCCCTTGTCTGTGGAGGTACACTATAAAACGGACTGTATTTTGCAATTTGATGCTATAAATTCTGGCTCATCTGAAAAAACACTTATAAGCATAGGGAAACTAAAAGGCACATACGTTGTTTTTAAACCGGGCTAGAATTTATAGTTCTAAATTGCAAAATGTAGTCCAAATATAGTGTGCCGTGCTCAGGAAGAACGCCGTATGAGCCTTCAGACGTCGCCAGATTCCCTTCGAGGAAAAACGAATTAACTAAGAAAATTATGAATATTTTTTTCTCAAATTTTTCAGTTAATTTTGTTTACGATTTAATCTAAAATATCTAAAAATTTCAAGGAAAAATACGCATAAATTTCCTTAAAAATAACTAAATATTTATTCGGGGAAATTTGACAACTCTCGAATGTTCATACGGCGTTTTTCCTTACCTAGCACGGCGGAATAGTGGTCTAGTGGTATATCAACGGTGAAACTCCTAAACCACATATCTTCGTTTGCGACGTTGCAGACTTCCTGTAATACTAAATCTATTAATCTATTAATCTATTACTCTATTATCTATTATTAATTATTATCTATTAATTGGAGAGCTACTCAACGTAAAATACTAAAAGTATCCGCGACTTTTCCACTTCGTGCAAAGCAAATTCTGTAGAGAAAATCAAAGAAAATGATGTAGGCATGTTCTTCTGTCAGAAAACAAGATAGCACCGGAGATTTTTCAAGACTGCAAACGAGATAAGTGGTTTGGAAGTTTAGCCGTCGATATATAAAGAGGCTTGATATTCTTTAACTTTAGGACCTTTATCCGGTCGTTACTTGCAACACCAAAATATAACCCGTATCGGCAATAATCATAGACCTTTAAGTGAGCGAGTTTTCTATACTGCCGTGTTGAGGAAGAACGCCGCGTATGAACATTCGAGAGTAGCCAAATTTCCCCGGATAAAATGTGTTTTTTCGTGAAAAGTTATGCATGTTTTTCCCGGAAATTTTCAGATATTTTGGCTTAAGTTGCGAACAAAATCGTCCGAAAAATTTGAAAAAAAATATTCCCAATTTTTCCAGTAAATTCGGTTTTTATTGAGGGGAATTCGGCAACGTCTAAAGGCTCATACAGCGTTCTTCCCTAGCACGGCAGTATAGTTTTGCCGTCAAAATCGGTCGGAAAATGAACGAATTTCACGATCTTCAATGGAGATGTTGCATGTGTGAGGAATTTGCGATTTGACCCTTGATTCTTAAGTCAAAGTTCGCGAGAAACACGATGGTGCCACTGGCTTTCTCTGAAATCAACTCCCAAGCTCTAAAAAAGCTCTCAAGTTGAGGCCGAAATGGAGGGGATATCCAACGCTATCCTGAGAATCCATGTCTACCCTGGTAAAAATTGGCGATAAGAGCTGCGTTTCAAAATACCATAGGAAATCTTGTAGCCGGCTAAAGAAGGCTACAGAAAATCTGTATAGCTGGCTGTAGAATGCGGAGAAAATCATACGGTCGGGCTATACGAAGCGATAAAAAATTATGCAGCCGGGCTATAGTTCCTACAGCCGGGCTTTACACTTTATCGCCTGGCTGTTGCTTTTTCGCCATCGATTATAAAAGGCCATAAGAAATTGTGTAGAAATTCGTGTGCTTTGGAAATCATTAAGTTTGATACGGAACCACCTTAATATTTACAAAACACACGTTATATTTTCCTTTAATACATATTTTTTTCATCAATTAAAACGAGAATAATCCATACAGGATGTGCAAACATTTCAAAATCATGAGTTGAATAACGCTGACTCCGCCAGATTAAATATTAGAGCCTAACACAAAGCGGAGCGGCGCGGCGCACTGGCGCCTACAAACCTAACAGGGATACTTCACGCATTGCGCAACGCGTGAAGTATCCCTGTTAGGTTTGTAGGCGCCAATGCGCGTTCCGCGCTGGCTGCCCGCCTGCCTGCTGCACTGCAGCGTGCCACGGCGCTTGAAGCAACTATTTCACACCAGAGGTATTGCACAGTATCATACGAAACTGAAGGCGCTCTAATATATTAGGAATGGCAGGCATCCATCAAAAGTTGTTTCCTCGCAAAATAAATCAAGATACTACGGCCCAAAAAGAGAGCAGTGGTCCAAAAACTCACTATGTCCTAGCATCCGTAATTAGTGACGTTTAGCATAGGTACACTTTATCGCCTGGCTGAGAGTTGGTTAATCGCCATCGGCTATAAAAGGCAATAAAAAATTGTGTAGCCGGCTATAGAAGCTATTGGAAATCTTACAGCCGGCAGTAGGTCTATGGTATTTTGGAACACAGATTCTACTGCCAATCTTTACCAGGGATATATGAAGACAAACTCTCTATGCAAAGATAGGGAGCAAATACATTGGCAGGGCTACCACTTTATTTGGGGACTCCAAAACTGAAAACACGGCAACCCTGCTAATGTATTTGCTCCCTATCTTTGCATGGAGAGTTCGTCTTGATGTAGAGGTGGACTCTGAGGATAGCGTGGGATATCCCCTTTATTTTGGCCTCAACTTGAGTGCTTTTTCTGAGCTTGGAAGATGATTCCAGCGAAAACCAGTGACGCCATCGTGTTTCTCGTAAACTTTTACATAAGAATCAACAGTCAAATCGCAAATCCCTCACATATGCAACATCTCCATTAAAGTGGCAGCCCTGTCAATGTATTTGCCCCCTATCTTTGCATGGAGAGTTAGTTTTGATGTAGAGGTGGACTCTGAGGATAGCGTGGGATATCCCCTTTATTTTGGCCTCAACTTGAGTGCTTTTTTTGAGCTTGGAAGTTGATTTCAGAGAAAACCAGTGGCACCATCGTGTCTCGCGCGAACTTTTACATTAGAATCAATAGTCAAATTTCTAATTCCTCACACATGCAACATCTCCATTGGCTAAAAAGGCAATATGTGAACACAGCGTCCTCTGTGAGGTCATTGTTGTACCTGATGAGGGCCGTTCATCAGTGACCTCGCGCAACCAAGGCTTCGGATTGGAGCTCCGTATTGGCGCTGTCGAACATTTCGTCGCTTCTCTGACGTAAGGGTGTACCTCGATTTTTGCGTGAGCCCTGTTCCCTGTGTATCTATATGCTATCCGCGGCTCATGCAAAAATTGAGATACGCCCTTATGTCAGAGGAGCGACGATTTGAATGATCTTACGGCGCACAATGGATCAAGTCAATCAGAGAGGTCGGACATGCAATTTTTGACTAAAACCGAAAATTTTTATGTTTAATTTATCACATTTAAAATTTTAAGGGGTGTTTATAAAGGAAAATTTCACGAGGGAACCAATGAAACAACTTTTAAAACCTCAAAATTTTGTTTGAATGGAGTTATAAGCATTTAAAGTTTCCAAATGTTGTCCAACCTCTCCTGCTGGCTCGGTCCAATGTGCGGCGCTTTTCTTCGGCACGAATTGCGACGATGAAGTGAACTTTTACTGATTTTCCATCGCGATATTTTCAATTTTCCGAAAACCGTTTTCAATGTTAAACGTGTTACAATGTTGCTCTCTTAAAGTATGGGTTGTGGTTCCTATGAACTTACTGATCTACACTGGGAAAAAAAAAAAAAAAACACACACACACACACATTGGATCTAGAGTCCAGACTCTTGAAAACATCGACAAAAAAAGTACTCTTGATTCAATCAGATTTTTTCTTAAATCAGAAGGAAATCCGCTCAAATTAAGAGGCTTGGTTCTTGATTTAAGCAAAAATCCGATTGAATCAAGAGTAATTTTTCTTGTCAATGTTTTCGAGAGTCTGGACTCTGGATCCAATGTGTTTTTTTTTTTTCCAGTGTAAGAACGGTGACTAGGGCTTGCCTGAGAAAAACTATCCTGCATCGGGAAAAACGTGGCTAACTATATCTTTTCCGCACAAAGTACATCCGTGGTAATTTTTCCGATTATCGTTGCCGCACAAAATCATTTTCGCACAAATAATATTCTGTAGTATGTGGCAACGTCGAGAAAAATATGAGGCATATATGTATTTAAGAAAAATGAGTGATCAAAGATTGCAATGTTGCCAGATGTTTGAGATCTGATTTGTGCGATAATGATTTTGTGCGGCGATGATAATCGGAAAAATTACCACAAATGTACTTTGTGCGGAAAAGATTTTCTTCCAAAAACGTGTTACAAATAACGCAGATTTCACGCTGAGGTATGGTTCGATGGCCTCGGTATTATCTCATCGATTGGTCCCTTTTTTTCAGCCACTCGTCATTTTTCTCGAGTTTTGAGATCGCAATTATGTCGCCAGGAGACAAAAGAATTCACACACCAATTTTGACAAACAAATTCAACGTTATATAGGCGTGGTTTTTTTAGAGAGAAAATATCGCATTCGAGTGCAGTTTCGATATCAGTATCGAATGCTATATTTTTCCTCCAAAAATAACACGCCCCTATTAAGTAGAATTTGTTTGTCAAAATTGGTAAGTGAATTTTTTAGTCTCCTGGCGACAGAATTGCGATCTTAAAATTCGAGAAAAATTACAAGTAGCTGAAAAAATGGAACTAATCGATGCGATACATCGCATGCCGTTCTGACACAAAATCTAACGTCTATCAAATCATCGTAAAATAATATTTCAATTTTTTTTTTTTTTTTTTTTTTTTNGTACAACCCCCCCCCCCCCTACTGGAGTGCCAATTGCAATGTTTTTAATTTTCAAAGTGTAAAGTACCTAAATACAATTCCTCCATCCGCGATCTCACCCATCCCCTCTACATCTCTTTTCACAGGTGCAGGTGCAGAGGGGAAGTTAACCACGCCGTGGCTATCGTTGGCTATGGCACGGATGATAAAGATGGAGATTACTGGATTATCAAAAATAGCTGGGGCACGTCTTGGGGCGAGAAAGGTTACATGAGAATCAAAAAAGGTGCCAACATTTGCTCACTTTCTAATTACGTTTGGAAAGTTAATGTCAAATGAGTACACTCTGAAGTCGGTAAGTGGTCAGTGGCGTCGCGTGTTCTGCGATAAATCGATTGATCCGCCTTTTACACCTATGGAATTTGATCGATAGAGAGGGTGTTCGCAACGAACACCTTGATAATCGATTCTTTACCATAGTTTCAAATGGGGAGATTATGATAATCGATTGTTCGCACCTCGCCACCGAAAGTGGTATCAGAAAATGGACCACTAGACATGGTACGTTGCACGGGAAATTTTTAAGAGGAAACATGGGTCAGAATGATTAAATTCATACCTTGTCTATTGGTCCATTAAACATTGGAGATGAGTGTTTATAATTACCAAGAAAACGTGGGTCTCTATTTTCGCCACGGAACAAATTAATATTGATTTATGCCTCTGGCACGTCGAATAAACTAAAATCATTTTAATTTGCCTCACCCTATAAAGGGTTCTCGACATATGCACACTGGAATATTAAAGCATTTTGATGGATGGAGAGAAACGTCCAGTTGGCCTGCGTGCGGAGGTCAAGAGGGAATGGAGGATTGGATCCCGATTGGTCATTATTAGGTACCGAATGAAATGGTCAAAAATTAAATTCCCGAGGTGGCTTGGGTAGTATGAGTATGAGTTATTACTCATGAGATACGATAAACAAACCTGTTTTCTTTCATGAAACAACATGTTTTCAACGTGTTATCTTTCATGTGGATTGTAGACTCCCTGATGGATTGTGGGAGGACCGAGTTTTGTGGCGATTAGGCGTCGCAGAGCGCCAGAGAGCGCTATAAAAGCGACTCATGTATGTATGTTTCATGTTATTTTTCTAAAATGTTCCCAAGCGGGTAACGCGTGAAAAAAAGTTCTCACAACGTTACTCCGAAAAATAACGATGTGACATGGTTTCCGCTCACGTTTATCCGGGTGAGTGTACATCTGCATTTCGACTATGAAACTACCAAACCACGTATCTCGTTTGCGGTGTTTAAAAATCTACGCTCGCATTTTATTTTTTTGAAGTAGACCAAATGAATATCATTCCTTGAAATTTTCACGGAATTTTCTCCGCACGAAGAGGAAAAATCACAGAAATTTTCAAGACTGGACGTTGAGTAGTTTTTCATTTAAAAATTAAAGTATGACAGGAAGTCTGCGATATCGCAAACCGAGATACGTGGTTTGGTAGTTTCACCGTCGATTTGCTTCCGCATCTACACATATGCGTCATAGAGTACATAGAGTCGTAATGTAAGTGGGAGAGCTGGCGCCACTTTTAAGCATTTTCCATGTCCCGAATTCCGAGACTCCTGTGTGACGCCGGGACACTTTTTCGATACATAATCGATTGTTTGCGATACACGGGTACCCGGCCATCCGATGACAACAACAACAACAACACAACAACAACAACAACAACAACAACAACAACAACAACAACAACAACAACAAAGGAGATAGGAATTACCACGTATTCCACACCGAGAACATGACGTTGATCGACGTCGTCGAGCAGAACATGACGCCAGCTCTCCCATTTACATCACGACTCTATGTACTCTATGATATGCGTAGACCTAAGCAAAATTTACAGATCCAACCAATGGAACGGAACCCTCCACTTCGTGATACAGCTCTGTTTTTGTCACATTCTCTGGAACAAAGGGGGAGAACATTTAGAATAGTGTATCGTGAATATAAATCTGTGCATACTCCCTATTCCTTTTTAAATTTTCAAAGAAAACCAGTGTTTAAACGCCCTCAAATTTGTGATAACTGTACATTTTGAAATCACTTGAGTGATTTCAAAATTTTCAGACTGAATCAGTCTGACTCAGGATAGTTTATGAAACATAATCTGACGTCAGGCTGACTCACTTTTACTGGGGAATTGACCGGTTATAGTTGCTGAGGGACTTTCTGTGTCCTTAGTATACCCTCCTCTTTAAAAAGAATGATGATAGATTCTAATAATTTTCTTAATTTTTTATCTCCAAGTTTTGTTCAACGATGTTCAATTTCTTGACCTTAGTCATTTCAAAACAATGTCAAATTTAATCGATCTGATAATGTTACATGCTGATCAGAGGATTAGATGATCTCATTAAGTTTAATGTGTATTTTTAAGGTATAACATATAGCTCCCTTCGGAGACGGTTTGGTACATATTGTAAAAATATATAAATCTCGCTTCGTCACTAGATAATTTTCCTTCTTCTTCTTCGTTTTTCTCTATGTACAACCATGATTAAAAGAAAGAAAACAAAGTATTAAGCTCCTAGCCGATTTAGTAGGAGCGGAACTATGTAAATTCAGGTCATGCTTGACAATGAAAGAGAATGAGAGAAAATTACATGCTTATTTACACACCGCATTCTGTATTCTGTATTATTGTCCAAGCATGGCCTGAAATTACATAGTTTCGCTTCCATTGAATTGGCTATAAGCTCAATAATTTGTTTTCTTTCAATTGAGGGGCTTGGAGGACAAGGCGCACAAGTGTAGTTTTTGAAGAAATTGAGGTACTAATTATTTCAAATGAAACCAGTCTGAATGCATATACTCTGAAAAAATGTTTAAACTCCAATTTTTAAGCATTAATATGTCAGTTTAAAATCCATGTAGTTTCGAAACTTCGAACACGTATTTCTCGAGATGTCAAGAACTGCACTTATGCGCCTTATCCTCCAAGCCCCTCAGTTATGAGCCGAACACCTGCTAATTTTGAAAGCATGACTACTAATAACACTGGATGAGTAAGAATAATACATTTGTTGCACGTAATAAGAAAACAATTTTACGCCTCCTTAGTGATCTCGTTAGATGCTCATATAAAAAATCCTCTCAAAGTTCACAACTTTCGATGTGTTATATTTAAATAGTATCATATTCATAATGTATCATTTTTTTCAGTTTTTGAAGAACTGTTTATCACAAATTTTATGTTCATGTCATCGTGAGGTATTTTGCTCAGCGACAAGATTTTGTTGGGACAAAGTGTAGATTATTTATGGAGATCCATATTCCCATCCAGCAGCAATGCTCGACGATGCAACCAGAACCACAGACAGTTTTCGATTGCACCGGCGACAAATGAAATTTAGAATAAAAATGGACAGGAAATTAAGAGAAAACATTAAATAAATAAAAAAAGAGCTGCTGCTCGATAAACAGCTGAGGATGGGTCAGAACCTCAACTTAATTTACCGCTCGGGGCGGTCCAGCCGGATCTAAACGATCGTTTGGAAGTGGAATTTTTACAATCGAAACGTAAAATTATAACATTTCCACCATTTCTAGTACAAGTACATAGAAAAGGTCGTAGTTTTTAGGATGCTCAGTCCAGGGACCTTTACTGCAAGTCCAGCTGTAAAAAAAATACCGTAATATTTTTAAGTGCCTTAAAAAAGAGAATATAATAATCAGGAAATTGCTACTGTAAGCTCTATCTACCGGATCTGAATCAAACTGACAATGAATCAGATAAGTGATTAACGTAGTAAAGATGACTGATTTGCTTGAATATCAGATTTGGTCAACGGAGTCGCGGAATCGATTGCTTTCTTAAACGCAGTGTTGCCAAGTGTCTTCATGATTGAAATAATTTAATAGGATTGATTGATTATTTTTAGTCTCTCAAAAAGTAAAAGAGCCCCGTTTAAAAAAATGCATGCACCTGAATTTAAAAAAAGATACATCATCGGTTCCCTACATCGAAGAATTCGCTTATTTTAAGCTGCAGAGGTTCCTTCATGCTGAATTAACGCGGCGGACCTCAGGATCCAGCAAAATTGGATCATTTATAAATAACCAATTTATGAAATCCTTAAAAAGTCTCAAAATTGAACTGCTGTTAAAGTAAAAAAAAGAAAAATAAAAAAAAGTGAAAAAGAAGAAGAAAAGGAGAATAAGAAGAAGAGCATCTGCATAGCATGCGTTGCCACGGGAAAGACAGTTTACCTTTTCAAAAATTTCTTTGAAATAATTCGGACAAAATGGTTCAGGTCATCATGTTAAATATCCAGGGAAGTTTTTTTTAGAGTCAAACAAAATAATACATATTTTTCATATTTCTATAGAATTTATGACAATTTGCAGAATATGTTACCTAAGTGACTTGAAAAGTTTGTGCAGTCGCATTATTCAAAAAATTTTAACACACATATTTGACATTTTTTTTTCAAAATTAGGCTCTGACTTCCAAGAAAAGAAATCTTGTAGAAGAATTGGCCAGGAATGAAACAAAATTCTCAAGTTCAGATAACTGAAGAGGATGTCTTTTCTTTCATTTCGAAGCGTTACATTCGGAGTCCTGTAAACCTTGATTTCTCCATTGGTATGGAATATGTTAGCCTGCGCGTTAGAACAAGTATATTTTTCTTTGCTATGAGCAGGCTCTAGTCTAGTCATTCTGGGTACCTCAAGGGTGTAAACCATTGATCAGCAACCGAATAACAAAGTCGACAATCTTGTCGCAACTTTCAACCGTGCTGTAACCAGCCAACACAATTTGGGCCCAGTGCGGCAAAGGAGGCCAATCTAATCGAACGCTGATTAGTCACTATCGTAGCTCACGTTATCGCGCAATAGCATGGCATCTGGCTCATCTGAAAAAAAACTTATGTGCATGCGGAAACATGTGAGAAATTGTTGGTTGAATCTGTTTGACTATTCCACTGAATTTATCGGCAGCACAAAGAAAATTCAGTGCAATTTTCGGACAGCTTCGTTGAACGATTTCTCTGTAAAAAAATAAAATGGAAATTTTCAAACGTCGCATGGCGCTTGTGATACCTTGGCCGGAAGGTGCCGACGTATGAAGAGTCGAAGAATTAGTCTGTAAGCAATGATAAAGAGGAAATTTAAAAAAAAAAAAACATAATTTTATCCTACACTTGCTCAGCTTATATTCGGTTAAATAATTGTCCTCCAAAAATGTCCTCGAATTTCGGCGTGCGAAACCAAGTATGCTATTCTGCCGTGCTAAGGAAGAACGCCGTATGAGACTTCAGACATCGCCAAGTTTCTCCGATAAAAACCGAATTTACTGGGAAAATTGCGAATATTATTTTCCAAAATTTTCAGACAATTCTGTACGCAATTGAATCTAAAATATCTGAAAATTTCAAGGAAGAATATTCATGAATGTTGTCAAAAATACATGTTTCATCGAGGGAATTTTGGCAACTCTCAAATGTGCATACGGCGTTCTTCCTTAGCAGTATTGAGCAAGTGCAATGAAAACAAATGCCGCAGTTGGAAACAAAAATCAAGTATTTTTCACTTCACCTCTCGGAGCAAGCCAAAAAAGCAAATGCTTAGACGTATGGTTTCCCTCCGGCAATCCTACTAAAAGCCCCCTTGCATATTTAAGTTTTAGGTCGCGCAAAAGTCCCGCTATTTTTGGTTTTACCCTCCACTAAGTTCGTCCTATTTGGACG